TATATCAAAGGGGTGACTATGATAATCACAAACGCCATCTTTAGACGATCGCTATATTGGATTCAGCATTATTTCGCTTGTTTTTTTGCGATTTTCACGTCAAGCGCTTGTATTTGATAGTTATAGAGGTGACTATCGAAAAAGTAAATCGGCATTCTGGGGCGGCCGCCATATTAGATATATATATATATATATATATATATATAACTTGAGACGTGGTCATTGTCGTCTAGACCAGTTAGGTGAAAAATTAAAGCTTCCGCCTTTTGTTGGGTACTTCGACCAAATTTAAGCAAAGAGGACTCTTTATACTTTTTTTAATTCTCTCTAGCTTTCAATGGACTTTGCCATCATCATCAGGAGCTGCAATTACAATGATAACAGTAGCAACAAAAGTGTAAAATGAATTTAAATTGACTCAACTTACAGTAGTATGTGAGGATGTTGCTAATTGTTGTTTACGTATAGGATGAGGGAAACGCCCAGTAACATGGTGAACGCTGGATAGATGGTACAATGGTCAAAATTATATAAAATATGTCAAGACAAGTTAAAAACAGATTAAAAATTATTTAAAAAACATTAGAGCATTACATCGTGAAGCCACTTGATGATTGCACAAAATGGTGGTCATGGAATAATGAGTGAGATGAACCTTTGACAGAAGGCCGAAGGTTGTCAATGTCTGTGTTGAAAGATGGAACGAATCGTGGGCGTGTGCCAAACGTTGCCAAATCACTTCAGATGATGTGATTTTCAGAATGTTATGTAAGAAATTGTTAAACCGACCAGAGGCAGTTGAGTAAACTATATTTTAATTAATGGGAATTTTAAATTAACAATTATTAATAAATCGTGAGAAGAGAATTATTAGATTTTGAGTGGAATGAAATTTGTTGGTGGAATCGGCCAAAACACAGATTTTATTTATGGTTGTGAAAAGTCGAAATTTGGGGAGATATGTAAGTTCTCCAATTTTTCGCAGTTTAGCAAATATGAGTAAAGGACACTCAGTTGTTTAACATCTGTCTGTTTGTTGATACAGTTGTTATTTATGAAAATGTGGGACATTTCCAGGAATAAGCGCTTGGAAAGGTGTTTTCTTTGTCAAGAACTTTGATACTTGTGTAATTCATAGAATGACCTGTTGTGTTAACATGAGATGCTAGAGCGCGTCTTTCAGGATGAAGCCTAGCATCACTTTTGTGTGATGTAATCCTTCCTTTAAGAGATCTGGAGGTCTGACCTATGTTTATTTGGTTGCAGTTGTTGCAATTGATGGAGTAGACTGTGTTGGTTAAGCCAAGCAGCGGGACTTTGTCTTTCATTTTTGAAAAAATGCAGTTTATAGTGAGGACGGATTTGCAAGCAATTCGAAAGTTCAAAGGACTGCACAATCTGATCAGCTTAGGGGTCAGTTCCTTGATATAGGGCAGGACAGCAAAACCAGGTCTGGAGTCCGGGTTGGTGCTTGTACTGTAGGCCAGGTACCAGGAACCTATGGCCTCAGGTCGGTTTCTCAATTTTAGGTCATACCATAAGCTAGGGATTAAAATCAATTTGGTAAAACAGATGAAAACAAGGGTAATCAGCATCTCAGATAATACTTTCCACACCTCAAATTTACGTAAACTATCAAAACTGTTCATCAATAATGGGTATCCGAAGTGTCTGATTAACAAGATCTTATTTAGTTCACCTTCCAATATTTTGCCGAACTCTGGTGATGCAGGTAATAGTCGCACAACCCCTAATAATAACGGAACTGATGTAATTCCCAATAATAGCATCAATCCAAACAGTACAAGCACCAACCCGGACACCAGACCTGATTTTGCTGTCCTGCCCTATGTCAAGGAACTGACCCCTAAGCTGATCAGATTGTGCAGTCCTTTGAACTTCCGAATTGCTTGCAAATCCGCCCTCACTATAAACTACATTTTTTCAAAAATGAAAGACAAAGTCCCGCTGCTTGGATTAACCAACACAGTCTACTCCATCAATTGCAACAACTGCAACCAAATATACATAGGTCAGACCTCCAGATCTCTTAATGGAGGGATTACATCACACAAAAGTGATGCTAGGCTTCATCCTGAAAGATGCGCTCTAGCATCTCATGTTAACACAACAGGGCATTCTATGAATTACACAAGTATCAAAGTTCGTGATAAAGAAAAACACCTTTCCAAACGTTTATTCCTGGAAATGTCCCACATTTTCATGAATAACAACTGTATCAACAAAAAGACAGATGTTAAACAACTGAGTGTCCTTTACTCATATTTGCTAAACTGCGAAAAATTGGAGAACTTACATATCTCCCCAAATTTCGACTTTTCACAACCATAAATAAAATCTGTGTTTTGGCCGATTCCACCAACAAATTTCATTCCACTCAAAATCTAATAATTCTCTTCTCACGATGTATTAATAATTGTTAATTCAAAAATTCCCATTAATTAAAATATAGTTTATTCAACTGCCTCTGGTCGGTTTAACAATTTCTTACATAACATTCTGAAAATCACATCATGTGAAGTGATTTGGCAACATTTGGCATACGCCCACAATTCGTTCCATCTTTCAACACAGACATTGACAACCTTCGGCCTTCTGTCAAAGGTTCATCTCACTCATTATTCCATGACCACCATTTTGTGCAATCATCAAGTGGCTTCACGATGTAATGCTCTAATGTTTTTTAAATAATTTTTAATCTGTTTTTAACTTGTCTTGTCATATTTTATATAATTTTGACCATTGTACCATCTATCCAGCTCTCACCATGTTACTGGACGTTTCCCTCATCCTATACGTAAACAACAATTAGCAACATCCTCACATACTACTGTAAGTTGAGTCAATTTAAATTCATTTTACACTTTTGTTGCTACTGTTATCATTGTAATTGCAGCTCCTGATGATGATGGCAAAGTCCATTGAAAGCTAGAGAGAATTAAAAAAAGTATAAAGAGTCCTCTTTGTTTAAATTTTGTCGAAGTACCCAACAAAAGGCGGAAGCTTTAATTTTTCACCTATATATATATATATATATATATATCTGATATCGCTTTGCTTACTGCGTTTCTTTCATCGATCCCTTTTATTTGATATCCATATCATATGGGTGACTGTACGTTTCAAGTAACATTCCAAAAATATCTCTTTTCAAACATTTTTTGCTAATACAATACTTCCTGGCCAACTGGCATGTGAAGTAAAACGATAATAAAGAAACGGTGGAAACGAGCGACATGTTTTCTCCAAGAACGTTCTTGTAATGTAAACCTCATCAAATGTCGTAAATTCATATCACAACACATCGGTCGAGCGTTCCAGCTAGGAAATAAACACAATTATCAACATCAAGGTCCCTGTGAATGCGGTAAAATAAGAGGAATGATGGATGTAAGGTTCTTCTCACTCATTGTACTATACCCATATAAAGCATACATCGCGACTGAAAGTGAAATTTTTCAGTTCAAGGTAGTGCAAGGCCAAGGTTGGAAACAATACGAATACGCGTTAGTATTACAGTCGATAACCACATTGTAATGATCCTCTATTTAATGTATTACCTTGTTTTTTAGCCATACAGCTTTGTCAATGGTTATGCAAAGTATTAAATCTACGTTTATCTCATACGTTTGGTATGAATGTTAATGAGATTTGAACAATTATTACATACTTGCTGTAGATTTATCGTATTATGTCTTGCTGGAGCTCCGATTCGTCAAAATCCTAGGTTCATTGACACGCCGTCGCGTCGATAAATACAGGTTAAACAATGAAATAAGGCATCGGTTTGCAGCCTTATTGGTTTCCAGACTTGAACCCTTTTTAGTAGAAAATGTGGAAGATATGTGAGATTGGATATTCTGTATAGGAGAAAGGTAATCTCCGATATACATAAAAGCTGCCCAGACTATTAAGAAAGGTGGTAATGCAACCCATCAACGTTCCCTCGGATTGATAGAGCAGCTGGACAGTTGCGAAGCAGCTCGATATCCTTGAAGATTTTGTGGATATGCTCTTTTGGCATAGATGTCATGGCTGCGATGGATATAATACATACGGCCACTTTTCCCACAAATCTAGTTTTGGCAGCCCTTTTTGACAATCCATCGGCTAGAATATTACCCTTAAATTGTGAATGACTCTTCACTGAGGCAACAGTTATGTTATTACTGATGGAGTCACTCACACGTAATGACGATAAGTCTCAAAATATTCCAAGGAGGACTGAATTTTTACCTTGAGGTTTTAGGAAGCACTGTATCGGCGAATCGATGGTGCAGTCCCACATACTCAATCTCCATACTTTAAGAAGCTCTAGACTCTAGAGCTTAGGGTGTTGAGTTTTGTAGATCGTAGTAGGCTTTCTATCGACCGGAACAGTAGAGTCCACAAGCCGCTAGGCCGCTTAATACTATTCACCGGTATTCAGGCCCAATTTGATTGCCCGAGTACAAACAAATTCACTTAGGATTGTCGACCGTGGGCCTTTAAACTCTATGTTGCATCTTGAAACAGTTTCCTTTATTGGACGTTCTTGTCATGGACACACAGTGTTCAGATTGACCTGAACAAGTGATAATGTTACGGTCACTCCTCTTTTTTCTGATCGCGATCCGTCAATTTTTTATACCCGTTTGCCCGTTCTTGTCCAAATCATTTAACAAAAAAGATATCTCTTATGGGACCAACAGCAACCGCTCGACGTCGACCTCCAGTTAGATTCATGACTCATACACACCTATACCGTCTTCAAAACCGCTTCTTCGGCAGGACTATACTTAAAGATTATTAATCAGTCGCATAAATTATAGCTGAAATTTAATTACAAGTGATTTAAATCAGCGATTTCAGTCTCTTCAGCTTTGAACACATGGCACCCCGCGGCAACTGGGATCATGAGTCGGACTGCAAAAAAATCCATTTACATATGGGAAGGTTGAGGAGATTACTATTTTTTATCCTTTGTTCTTCATTTCTAGTGAAACGACCAGACGTTACTCAGAATCGACGACAAGTAGAGCAGGTTGTCAATTTGGATGTTTTGGTGTTTCTGCTAGGTATTGACGACGCAGGAAAAAGAAGTTACTCGATCAAAAGGTAATCCGAAACCTATACTCACCATCTCGAAACAAGGAAAGCTTTAGTATAAGGTTTTTGGAACTACAACAAAAGTTATCACTACCTCTTAAGTTGGTACTAGCACTTCATTCTTAAATGTTGACTTATTAACATGTAACAATTTTATTCAGCATTTTTTAATATCTTTGCGGTACATAGGGGTAAAGCAAACTCCAGGAAACAGCAATCTACCCGCTTTAAACCTGAGCTATAAATACACTAACATCAAAAATGTGAGACATACCCTACCCCCCTCCATAAAAAATTTGTATCATCGTAGCCCATTGCTCCTTTGCCACTGGGCCAATTTTCAAGAGCCAGCAAGCTTTTTCGCCTCTGACATAATAGTAAGTAACCTTGTTTTAAAATTTCATCTAAATCCGGTCGGTATTGTCCGAGTTATAGTCGGGCCAAGGATTACCGGACAGAGAGACAGACCGACGGGAATGAAAAGCATGGTTTTTCGTAATCTATGTGTTATATGATATCTAAAAGAAACAAAATTACAATACTTCCTGGACATTAGGCGTGGAAAGTAAAAATAAGAGATAACTTACATATGGGAAGGTTGAGGAGAGTTTAGTTTTTTTTAGCAAAAGGCAATGCGCAGGTTATAGACTGTCTCGAACCAGGAAAACCTTCCGTGTAAAGTTTTAGGATATACTACAAAAATTCTTACTACCTCTTAAGTGGGTACTTGCACCTGAGTGTTGACTTACTGACATGTAACAGTTTAATTCAGCATGCTCTAATATCTGGGAACTAGACTAAAACAGACCCTCATATCCTCCCTCATTCCCTACAACCCTCAACTCCTAATTTTTAACCGCTACAAAAGGTTTCCGAATGTATGATCCGAGCGACTTTTAGTTTTTCCTCCGTCTTTTGTTCACTGCCCCGCCGCCAAGGCACCGATTTTCAAAAACTACCATGGTTTTTTGTTCGTGGCATAGAAGTAAGTAATCTTTTGTGAAAATGTCATCAAAATCTGACCGGTACTTTCCGAGTTATAGCCAGACAAGGATTAGCGGACGGACAGACATACAGACAGAGGGAAATGAGTGACATGATTTTTCGTGATGTACATCCTATGTAACATCCAAAACAACAAAATCACAATATATTCCTCGTGGGTAGGCCCAGTAAGTGAAAATAAGAAGGAATGAGTAGCCAATAAAATAATGAGCTAAAGTGGAAAAAATGAGTCCGTGGATTTCCTATAGACACCAAGGGGCCACGCATGACATGGGACTATCTCTGCCCTTAGATAAGAATTCACAGATACTAGTTTACATCATCCTTACCGCTGTATTAGTACCTTCATGCTTTTCACTATTTTAGAGAAGGAAGCAATGATAGTTGAAATTTACCTAATACCACAGAGGAGCGAAGGTAGCAACACTGTGACGCGGAATTGTACAGTAACCTTCAGGTGCGCGAGTCAGTCGACTACACAGACGAATTAATTCGCAAGTATAAAGAGCCGCGGTTGGCAATGAGATCAAAATTGGTGAAATAAGAGAAATCAAAATTAAAGAATTTGAACAAAACCTTCACAAAAATTAAATCTTTCTGTACCATAGATAAATCTGACGAGTGATTTTAACAACTTCAAATTTAATCCTGTTCTAAAGATTCTCATCTTCCGCGTTCCCTCTCCCTTCCTGCTTATAATAGTGGTCATTTTTGTTTTCTTGTTTCTCATTGTCTGGTTTCTGGGCTACCAGCCAACAAGAGTAATTTACGTTACCCAAGCTTTCGAAGTATTTTTAAAAAATACGTCAATGAGAAATACCTTGTAGATGGGTTCTCTTCACAGTGAACAGAACTGTAACGTTGTTGAGCTCGCGTGACGGTGGCTACATACAAGATCGGCCGTAATGTGTAATTAGGCATCATGTATAGAAGAAAGGAGACAATCATGTCATATTAGTATATCCTAATGAAGGAGATAATCGCAGGTGAACACACGCATTTTCAGAAGGCTTTGATGATGCAGTTACTGCCTATTGCAGTTGGTGGGGCGTTGCGATCCAATGAGAAACTTGGTCGTATTTATTTGAGCTTTCGTTTAAAAGTGAAGCAATACCTTTTTACTTTCAACGCCTACTGTCGGGGAAGTATTGTTAACGCGAAAATTTTCGAAAATGAGATATGTGTTTTGGATGTTATATGAGATGCACTTCACAAACAACCATGTCACCCATTTCCGTCGTTCTGTTTGTCCGTTTGTCGGAATCTCGGTCTGTCGATCTGTCCGCTAATCCTTCAGTAGAACCGCTCGGATTTCAATAAAATTTTTACACAATGATACTACTACGAGTATTTCAAGTACGCAAAAGCTTTGCAGTTTTTAAAATTCTGTCCAGTGGCGGCAGAGAAAAAGGCCCAAAGTGAATGTAGAAACCACTCAAACTTTGTTTTTTGACGTTTCAGAGGATCATGATTATTTTTGAAAAAAGATGTAGAGACAATTTTTTTTTAATATAAGTATGCTTCCAGCCTTTGTAATTCAGTGCACCTACTGTACATATTAAACACACCACAGCTTTCTCTGTATACTAGCCCTCAAAATTACGGTCCGATCTGATCGTGTTAAGTATCAGGGAGAGACGACGCTTCCAGATGAACTACCGGTGGGATGAGGAAGTAATATCGAAGGAGTAATTGCCTGGACCTGTTTGACTAAATGTTTCATCAGAGGGTCTACTTTGTGCTGAATAGCTGAACATAATCCTTTATGAACTGATAACGACGTTGCGTCGAAGGTGCAGAGCTAACCTACTTGACGCCAATTTCGAGATCATCACTTTAACCTTCGTTGAGAGGACGAGAGCTCTACCCTAAAACTTATCCTACATAATATACAGGGTAGAACAAATGTAATGTCACAATATAAATTAGCTTGAATTGGAGTTCATTTTAATGTGTAAAATTGATAGCATTGATTTAAAAGAATAATAAAATTCGTGAAGGTTCTGGGGATTTCTTAATTCATTGCAAAATAAAAGCAACATCAAACAATTAGCGATTTCTTATTTAATAGGCGCTATTAGAATCCCTCTTGACTATTCATCTCGGCATCAGCACCTATTTGGCAATTCAGAAAATCTTGGAACTATGGTCCTGTATCTTGAACTATCAATATACTAAACTTTGCTTGGGGATTTCTTAGCACTCATAAAATAACTATGAATATATATATATATATATATATATATACAGTGCTTTTCTTTAATGCTCCCTCCCCTTTGCTTTTTTGGACGGATCAATTCAAAAAATTAAAACTTGAAGTAAAGAAATTGATGCGTGGATACCATATTTTAGTGTAAAATTGACAGATGAAAATGTCAAGACGGCCGCTGGGCGCCATCTTAGAAAAAAAATTATATGAAAATGGGGGTCTTGTGGCACATCATTTTGAAGCTCCTGACGAGTACCTTATAACCCTAGAATATAAAGTTATTACCTTTTCCTACTACAAAATGGTGGTACATTTAATAATTACTTGAACACAAACCCACTAACATGCATATCTATTCACAGGAACAGCGATAAAAACTTGTTTTGTTATTTCTTGTTGACAGTGTCAAGAATATAGTATGAAAACAAACATCATTGAACAGTTAAAGTATTCTTATTTACTTTTCGGTTTCAGTTCAGTTTGAACTATTTTTAAAATGGTCAATTCTCGTCCATTGGAAGAAAAAATCGAAGCGATTTTTATTTATGGTGCGACGCGTAACTTTCACGAGACCGAAAGGATTTTTAATCATCGTTTCCCGAATCTTCCTACCTGTAGAGAATATTTAAGGGAACTTGTATCTAAATTTACCGCTACTGGTAGTGTAAACAACAAAAAGCCCCCAGGTCATCCAAACAGCCCAGAAGAAAAGCAAGTTCAAATAATTGGTGACATCATAGTAAATCCTCAACAGTCTACTTCCTCCATCGCGAATGTATGTGAGGTTTGTCCTTGTCCTGTATGGAGACTTTTGAAAAAGAATAAGTATTACCCATACAAAACTCAAATGGTACATCAGCTAACTGTAGATGACCCTGATCGAAAAACAGAATTCTGCGAGATTATGACGGAAGCCATTGCACGGCATCCTACCTATATACAACATTGTTGATATTGCAGTGACACCAATTCTCACGTCTTCCGGGAAACTCATACTCAATATCCACAAAAAAAATACGTTTGGGCTGGGATATTGGGAAATCATATTGTGGGGCTTCTATTCATCGAACAAACTTTAACCGGAGAACTGTATCTGAATATGCTGGAAAATGCTATTGACCCTCTAATCACTGAAATCGTCGAAGCGAATCCTACTGAATTCGATACTGATATTTCAGCAAGATGGTGCTCCCCCACACTACTCCAGATAAGTTAGGAATTATTTAGATAACAATATTTGTTTTAGTGATGAATGTATATTTTTTCTCAACGGTAATGTGCATAGACAAAATTGTCGTTATTGGAGTGACTCCAATCGTCACGTCTTCCGGCAAACTCATACTCAATATCCACAAAAAAATAACGTTTGGGCTGGGATATTGGAAATCATATTGTGGGGCCTGTACTCATCGAACGAACTTTAACTGGGGAACTTTATTTGGATATGCTGGAAAATACTATTGACCCTCTAATCACCGAAATCGCCGAAGCGAGTCCTAATGAATTCGATACTGATATTGCAATCCAGCAAGATGGTGCTCCACCACACTACTACAGACAAGTTAGGAATTATTTAGATAACAATTTCCCCGGTCGTTGGTTTGGCCGTCGAGGTCCTGTGAAATGGCCAGCTCGCTCGCCAGGTTTGACACCTAAAAATTTTTTATGGGGCTATTTGAAGTAAAACGTGTACGAAACTGAACCTGCTTCAGTATTGGATATACGGCTGAGAATAACAAATATTTGTAGAAATATCGATGCTACTATGTCCGAAAATGTTCGACGCAAAATTACGGACCGGCTGTTATTGTGTCAAGAAATTCGAGGCAACCATTTCCAGCATCTTCTAAACTGAACTCAACGTATTTATTCGAATTATCAAGTTAAATGTCAATGTATTCAGGTAATTATTAAATGTACCACCATTTTGTAGTTAGTAAAGGTATTGACTTTATATTCTGGGTTATAATCTTATGGGTAACCCGAGCGATACGCATTTCTGCTTTTTGGCTTCATCAGTCCCGAATCGAATGCACTTTATGCAACTACAATAATAGATACACATGCCCATATGTCCGGATACGGGTGTAACTTGAGGAAACGAAGATCGAGAGGGAAAAAAATCACACACGAAGTCCACAACAAGAGCCAACCTACACATTGTAGTATAGAATGGCTAGAACAGCTCGAATTCTCAAGGCGACATCTAACAACAACCACGCGGTTACCCATCATTAGCCTACTCTGAATTTCTTCATCTTCTTTGAAAACCAGTTCCTAAGTATGTGTACGTTTCTACCTCTTCAAACTGGTAAGTTTTGCCACCAGTGCTTTCATTGTTAGCCTCTCATTTTTAAATTCTTTCTCTGTCAATTTCATATACTTGGTTTTTTTCTTGATTAATATTCAAACCCATTAACAGTGCTTAGTCTTCCAGCCTCTTCGTCACTTCGCATAATTCCTCCTTACTTCTTCTAACTATGAAAATAGTATAAGAAAAAAATATTTACAGAACAACCCGCTTAAATTTTGCAAAACACAAATGCATGTCACTGTCAAGTTTGTGCTGCAAAAATCTAACTCCTCTGACCAAAAACGTTATGCTATAATAAATTACTACCACCTCACAAAATCCGGTAAAGTTAAAAAATGGTGAAAGTGTAAACGCTAGTGCCTTTATAGTGCGAATACCGCCAATAGCAAACACAGCTGACGACTCCAATTATAAGGTTTATACTTTTTGTTTCACGATTTTTGATTGATCACAGTGAAACTGCTTTCATATCTTCATCCCCCTCATACATACAGTATCGCGATTCACTCCTTTGAGAGTTTCTACAGATTTAAGTGAATAGAGCTCCTCTTTCTACTTATAATGATTGGAGGCTATAAAATTAATAAAATTAAGATTTCTAATGGTTTGTTATTTTCCCAATTTGTGATGTTGAGCCTCATGTGCCTCAAACCTAAACGCCTTTTTTCTAGTTAAAAGTCATTTATTCATTAATTACGTGGTTCTACGAAAGATCCGGATGCTTGTTTTAGTTTTGTGTGCTTTCAAAGAATGTAGTAGAGACATAGCGTTAGTTGTAAGTCAGTTTTTCCATTTTTCTTTGAACTACACTAAATAGTTACATTTTCACATACATTTCACTTCCGTTCTATATTTAAACGGGTTGCTAATGGGGAATCACACTCGCAATAAATAATTCTTACAATATCTGATATAAAATCATAAGCAAGGTTACCATATTTAACCACATGTAAAACTTATAGCAGCTGTTAACCATCTAGATCTATGATGGGAAAGGTACCTGCTATGAGTGCTATGGTATGTTTGTGTTTCTGCCTTGCCGCATGCAGTCAGCAATCCAGAAGATGGTGCAAAGTCAAAGAGTTGCTTATTCAACATAAGATCTTCAACCAACATATTATCAACCAGCTGGTATTGGAGTCTATTGCAGCCAAGGTAAGCCAAGTTTAAAAATAATGGTGTGACCAAAATTCCTCATGAGAAGTAATTTTAATAAAATTAAATACTCTATTTAAAAGTCTAATATTCATTTCAGTCAGTGGCGTACCACAATATTTTTCATTTTCTTCTTGTATGGATTGTTAACAGCAGTATAGGACATGTATTTATATGCACCTTCCGTGTTACTTATAGGCCTGCCCCAGACATACTGTCATTTTCTTTTGTATCACCCTGAGTTAAACGATTTTGCAGGCCTCCTTCAAACTGTATTGCCCGAATGTCAAACAAATGAAAAAGGCTTTAAAAAGGCACCCAAGTGTAAGTAACTATTTTCTGTATGTTATTCGGTGACGTTATGCAGATATTGGGCATCCTCAATTTTGCACTGAATTGGGACAACATTCAACTATTTTCTAAATATGTTCAATTCTTTGTAAGGGCTGACCAGATCTTTTATTGTAAAATGAGAGCAAGAAATGAACTACCAATGAATCTCCATATTCCAATGGCTGCTGAATGCAACCATAGGTGCAGGATGGACAGATTTATTGACATTCCAGCCACCTCGCTGGATTCTTCTAAAGTACAATTCTGTTTCTGTCGTTACATTTATCGGCCAGTGGAACATGGAGATTCATCAACGAGGCAATCAAAGGATAAGTTTTAGAAGCTACTACCAAGGAAAATGCTTGTTCAAAACAATAATCATACTAATAGTATGTTCAGGACTTTAGGTATCCTTATGTATTTTAGGCTCGGACCTTCTTTGCCATCTGCCTGAACTGGCTGGTATTCATCAATAAAATCCTCAATGATTGCAAAGAAGAGAGAAGGCACAAAAAATATGCTTTCCTGAAAGATTCACTTCATCTACTCATAGAGGAAATCCCTACAAATATAATAGGAAGACCTAAGAGAACTGGATTTTCCTGTAAGCTTGGGTTTCCTGTGGAAAACGAAGATAACACGATGAAGACAATATTTGACTATGAAGTGATCAAGGCGATGCACGTGTTCTTTTCTATGAGTTACAGAATGATACGGAGATGTTCTTAAACCAGTCGTCATCAGACTTTTCAACCATGCTGACTGCTACCTAAGTCGTAACAGTTGATGCAGAAATAAACATTCAAATAAAAAGAGGTTTATTGATTTATGTAACCATACGAAAAAAAAGACTGATACAGAAATACATAGAAACTTCTTTCTTCATAAAAAGCAAGTCCTCGCCATCTCTTAAAATTGTTCTAAACACTATTATTTGGTAGAACTATGATATGACTTGAGGAATAATCAACTCTCCATTAAAAGCCTAAGTTAATGTTATAGAAACTATTTCAGGGGTGAAACGAGTGAGTAATACCTTAGGAGCACCCATTTTAAAGTTGCCATAGCGGTTTTAGTAAGTGACAGATAACTGTATGTCATAGTTCTCACGCGCCATTAAATTACATTACACCACATCTAGACAATGCACCTGCCATTCTGCCTTTTTTTTCTGGATTCATCAAGAAGGTGGCACTTTCGAGTATATGATATAATAGAGCAGTACTGTATTTTGACTAAACAAGGAGTACCCTAACGTGCATCCTATTAGGCTGGATGGCCGAGTTCTGCCAAGGAATCATTCATTTCGGCTGGTCAGGGTCACGATTACCGATTACTTGATTTGGCACAAACACATCTCGTCAAACCCGACAGCTGCTGGGTTATCTGTTTGACGCTAAGAAATACTCTTGTCTGCATAGCCCCCTCTACTCTCTACAACGCTTGGATAGGACCTAGCCTCGAGAACTGTTCATGTGTCAGGAGTTCTGCTACTTTGACTACACTGTCGATGGTGTTCAGAGGAAGGGATCGATACCAGCGAACTTTGCTCCTGAGATCTTCCTTGATGCCGCCGCGAGTTGGGCCTGCCAGGTGGACAGGGCAGAGTATCTAGATTGTGGAACATTCTGCCTGAGGAGGTTTTGCCCAGCTGTACTAATCTGATGCAGTTCAAACGGATCAACAAGGTGCTAAGCTCATTACAGTAGTCGCTGTGCTTCGGTGTTTGGGCTTCTATCTACATGGTCGCATCAGTATAAATAAGGGCAAACGAGGACACGACATCCGATGTACTACATTGGATACCAGCAACTGAGTAGTAAGTTTCATCAGTATTGTATATGAGAACTGCAAGAAACCTGGCATAAATGTGCATTCCTAGAGACGCCGCGACATACACATATAATCCCATGATTAACTCCGTTAAATAAAAATGAGCATTAAATCAACAGCAATGTTTTTCACATTATCCGGTGGAATTCAGTGTTACGGTCAGCGGTCTCACACTCTGGGCTTCACGTAATCGGCGAGCTGATTGTTCACTAATGCAGTGTTATTAACACGGATTTTATGTCTCTTTAATACTTTTGCAAGATTACACCCATACCGATCTTAGTCATCGCTGCCGAAATACGTGAACCTTTCGAATCGCTTTTAAATTGGTTTACATCATAGTTGTATCGGCGATGTGTCATACAGTAAAGGTGACATTTTTTTAATAGGAATGCGGAATTTCATATTCATTCTCCGTAGTCGCTGAATCGTTGTGATGGTAATTATTCTGAAATTACTTCACACTTCTAAGCCTTTTGACAATAATCTGGAGTTTTAGGTCCGCTCTTTACTGTAAAATATGGCCCGGTAAGGGAACACGATGGGTTCCCAAGACCTTACAAAAATTCTGTACTGGAATTAAAATTAGTATTTAGGTAATTGAGATAGTCTTCTTTAGCATAACGAAAAGTTTCGGATCCTGCGGTAGGCAGGTACTGAAAAATTTATGGAAAAGTCCTTATTAGTACTATCATATGTAAATAAAAAAGACAAAAAGCAAAAGTTGTTTCTATGACATTTTCATAGGTATCTACATTCGCTTATGAAATAGAGTCAATTTGCTTAGAGCTGTGATTAGTCCATACGTAACTGCGCATAACTGAGTACAAAACAGCGGTGTGCTTTATACGAAAAGTTGGCCGTTTGTTATATACAAATGTTGTTATGGTCATTTAAAATAGTTTTGTCAAAAGCTTAACAATTCTGCTCTTCAGGCCTTAACTCAGCGGGCGGCTTGAGAGGGGGCTTACTGGTACCTATCACATCATTTTCAGGGAGTGTTTCAGCACAAATTGCCATCGATAAACCCAAACGTTATTTATGCCGTGTTAAATCAAATACGGTTTCTGAGTACCCAATTTCTTGCGTTACTACTGGACAGTCGCTGGGCACACAACAATGTGAATATGAACGACCGAGCAGGAATTTAATTTGGTTAGTTTAAGTTTATAAGGCAGATGGTCTACTACTGCACCAAAATAAGTGATGCCGCTAGCTTTCAGGGTGTATTATCGAGTGCATCGTTTTCGACTCCAATCCGCATAATTTTTCTGCGTGTTTGTGGATTATATTAATTTTACTTGTGCCACATATACAATATGAGTAGGCAAAATATATATCAGAAACCATTATCAAGTATATCCCCAAATGATCACCCGAAACTGTTTACAGTGGAAAAAGTTCTGCAGTTTTTACAAAAATATTGTCATTTTTTTGTACTTGTCCGTGAAATATAAATACCATTTAAATAACACAACTTCAACTCAATACATGATTTAATTTTAAGAAAACTTGCTTGCTGATACAATAATTACAAAAAAAGTTCAACTATGTTGTGCTATATTTTCTTTCATCGAAAGTGCTCCTCAGTACAACTATTCTATGGCAAATGGAAAATAAAAATCTACAAAGGATCTTCGGAAATATGATTTTGGAAATATTTGTAGCTTAAGGTAGCAGCTTTCTTAGTCTAATTTATTCTAGTCGTGATTATGAAAGTTTACTCACTAATGTTAGTAATAGCATCTTCAATCGGAAAGATCTATGTATGATTGCCAGACGGCCATGAAAACGATCCTGTCCTCAGCTTTAGAGTAACATTAGTATAGTGCCTTATATTTATTTTTTATCCCCTCTACTTTAGAAATGGATCGCCTTCAAGTCTATGGAAAACCTAAAGACCTCCGATATTCTGGAAACAGGTTTCTGCTTGCTGGCCGGCAGCGTTGGTCGGTTGTCATGGAAACTATGAAAAAGAAAGTTTATAGAATAATCTTAGGTCATACAGCGGTATTACATATCTTGAAAAGTGAGATTATGTCGTTTTTTACACAATAGCTGCTGTACACTTGTTGTGTGCTCGTTCAGTAGCTGTACATCTATTGCTCTAAGACGCTGCCACCGGTCTGGCAGTTTCGTAACTGCCATTACTTACTGGTTTCGTTCCCCATCTTGAGCTCATCATAGAATCCAGATTAGCTATTGAGGAACTAAGGTCAGGGTTTGACACTTGTCACAATGTTCTCTTCAGCTGATGAAACCAACCAAAATCGCAGGGGCATAGATCCGGTGATGATTGGGTTGCAACCAACATTTCACTCGGTGCTCCTCAACCCAACTGTTCACAGCCGTATAACGGTGACACGTGGCATTGACATCCAGAAGCCATCGTCGGAGTTTCCTGTTGTTATGTCAATTTAACCACCAGTTGTTCATATTAGCAAATTCCAAGACCAAAGTCCAAGGCGAGTATCAATATTTAGATACTTTGGCTCACATTTCTCTGCATGTGTTGGACTAGCTTTTCTCCAGATCCAACCCATTATTTCACTTGATCCTTTTCAGGTGGTCTATAAGGACTTATCCATGTTTCATTAACGGCATGTTAGAATGGACTTTTTTGTTGATTATCGTGGTCTAAATTATTAGTACAATTCATAGTACACTTTTTTCATATTCAGTTTTTTTGTAATAGAAGCTCGGTAACTAACTCGATGCTCTTTAACATCGCCATTGCTTTCATTGAAGCATTTAAAAACATGCGTTGTTGAGGATCACCTATGGAATTTTTTATATCTGTCGTTTAACTAGAAGCCATAGTAAATAGTATATAATTACGCAAAATAGAACATCGAATAAGCTATCCAGAACTGCCCGAGTTAAGACAGGTTGTTAATCACAAGACATTAGAGCAACACTGGCGGCCAGCTCTCTTACCACGTGTGCTTGAGAAGGTTATCAGTGATACCAAACTATTTACGAAAGAAATTCATTTTTTTAAGAATCACTGTTAAAATGGCATGCAGTCTTGCGCATTATTTACTTTCGTTTAATGTAGCAATTAGCGCCTATGAGTCAACCAGATACCACTGACGATATTATCAAGCTCATCTAAATATATAGTAGTTTCATGAAACGGGATACCAATTAGTGGTAAGTATGATAACACTAATTTGAGATTGGTACTGTTCGTTCTCTCCTCACACAGATTACTGAGTATAGTTATTGGTCCGGTGAATGAACTTAATTGTGGAATATCATCTTGGGAAAACGTGTGAACCTATTATCCATCACGATGTTATTCATTCATTTGTATAACCGCAACAACTTTTGAAAGAAGCTGCGTTCACCATTTTTTCAACAAAAAATATTTTTCCTGTAGCAAATTCATGCTGACACCCTCTTAAACGTAAAAAGTATTTGAAGGATTACTGCAGCAACTAAATTAATTTTTTAGATAAATTTGGAATTCTCTAATCTTGGCTAATACACTTCCTCTTCTTTACCCTCCCTCCTTCATACTTTCTTTTACATACACAATACCTACCCTCATCTCGTGTGTGCGAAGTAAAAATGAAGATCCCTGATATTTCACAAATTTCACTTCCGAACTTCTCAGAACGGTATGACGTCTAGTCGCATTCTCATACAACCAATTCATCTCGCAACACATTACGCATCGTTTGTTTACATGATTATACAGTGCCTATGCTTGATAGTGTTAGTCCAGTAACCAGAGAACAAAATTCATGAGAACGTTAGGATGTAAAAATGGGATTTATTGCAATGGGTGTGGAACATGAACAATAAACTTTCTACCCTAAATATATCTCATTTTCTTTTCTGTAGCTGCATTGATTGACGAGTCGTGTTCTTGCCAAATTATGCTCTCGGTGATGTGATCTGTGTGCCGTATTTTAAGATTCAGCGGCCTGCGTATCTTAATGTTGGCCGACAAATAAAGGAACGGAAAAAGCATACAATTTCGATTGAGGCAGTTTGAGCCGCCCCACGCAGCCCGTCGCCTTGGGCCATGGCACTGTAGGCCCTAGTGTAAGTACGCCACAGCCTCAACTGGATGTACTCCTGAGCATCTCTTGTTAATTAATGTATAATAAATAATAATGTATGGAAGGTCAAGTGTTTCAGTCATTAGTTAACTTTGAAATTAACAAAATATCTACTGAGTTGCCCATGGATGTCGCGATTAACTTACCCATAGCTTTACTGATTTCACCAGTTCAGGCATAATCTGTCCATTTTATCGCACTCGACTTTTGTGTCTCGTGACATCCTTGACATCTCAGACAAGACTTATGTATGTGTGACGGAGAGAGAGAGAGGGGGAGAAATTTGGTATCAACATTTTGCCCATAATCAGTAAATTGCGATGGATATCATGGAATAGTAGCCCAAATCAGACCGCTTTTCGGCCTAAATTGAATTTGGATGGAAATGTTAAAAATCAGTTCCTGTAGTATCTAAAAGTACTTGCACAACTAGTCTATTCCGCACTAAACAGACCACCCCCACGCCTTCTAGTGTCCCCCAACCGCACCTTAAGATATTGAAAATACCACCCCTTGATAATAGAATTTTTGGAACCATTCGCTACTGGTAAGCTAATATTTTCTAAATAACGTACTGCTACCTCTAGTTCAATTACTTTCAGCTTTATTTATTACTTTTTGCCTTTTGAGGAGAGTGTAGTGGGTAAAAAGGCAAGGGGTGGGCTTGCTGCACAAGGCTACAAACAAAGGATACCTCTACTCCACGTGCGACACATTACTATTTCCAAAACGTTTTCGTCTTCTGAACACTATTCCGTGGCCAGGTTCACTCGACCCCCCTTCATTCTTTAGAAAATTGCTAAAATCGTTCAGAAAAACGACACTTCGCTCTTCACATGTGATATATGATTTCCGGAGTACGAGTACTTTTGTCAGATGAACCTGAATCCGCAGTCATTTTGTCTCTATTACCCTTCCGTCTTCTGAAAGTCGCTAAAAGTATTAAAAAAAATGAAGACTTTTGAAGACTGGTTGGCTCTACACATGCGACATGTGAGTTCCGGGGTACTTTTGTCATCTGAACAGGAATCCGTGGTCAGTTTTGCGACATCCTCCTTCAGTCTTCAAAATTACTAAAGACCTTTTGAAGAATGAAGAATTTTAAGGAATGGTTGGATCTACATATGCGACATACGACTTACAAAGTGTTTCCGGCTCCTTAACACAATGCCGTGAACACGAAAACCTTGAACAGGCAGCACTAAACCTTAAGCGCTTAAATCATATACATTGATAACCTACGCCCTGGGTTACCCAGGATCAGCGACGTGGACGAGGTAGATAATAATTTCCTTTGGGGTCCTTGTTTAAAGTGAGACTGACCAGCAGCCGGTTCTAGGGATCTGAATTCATGTGCCGTAAAACTTGTAGTGTGGTTGTCATGACGGTCTGACAGCTGTAGCCCAGGAACTCTGCCGGATAGTGGAACAACTCCATTGCCCACCATCACCCCGAGAAGGTGCTCTGGATGCACACACATAAAAGAGATATAGTCGCAATATCGGCAAACAACATCAAATATCATATTATCAGCGTCAATCACTCTTAAATTGTCTTCATTTTTCTGAAACTTTTTAGCAATATTCTGAAGACTGAATGAGGGTGGAATCGTGTTCAGAAGACAAAAATGATCAGAGATCATATCATATGTAAATTTAATATACCCATTTATTGTAGTCGTGTGTAGTTAGTCCTCTTATCCTTAAAATGGTTAGAAAGGCAAAAAGTTTTAAATAAGAGTGAAATGTTAAAGTAGAGTTAGTAGTACGCTGTTAATCACATATTAGTTTGTCAGTAACGAATGTTTCTAAAGACTATGATTAGTTGACAGTATCTTTACTACCTTAAGTGGTGCTTGGGGTAGTCTGTTTAGAGAGGAGTCGACTTAGTTTTTTTAATAGATACTATAGGAACTGACTTCGAACATTTTCATCCAAGTTAGTCAAAAACCGCCCTTGCTAACCCTCCTTCCTTTAGTATACAAGATATGCCAAAAGTTTACCAAAGCTTCCTGACCCAACGGTCGCGGTGAGTGACGCTGGCGTACAACAAATTTGTTTACAAGAGAGTACTCATTTAACTATTTGAAAATGTTTCACATAGACTGGTTTCTCGCTAGAAAATTTTTCTATAGATAATCAATCCCAGGATTTGTGAAACGTCAAAGTGAGCCCGGTGTGCCATCCTGAACGACAGCATTAAATCTGATATACAATTTTTGAATATTCTTGAGTATCCTACACCTTTGGTATGAAAACTTTCTTTTGACATATATTTATATGTATATATATATATATATATATATATATTCGGAGGCGTAGCAACCGCCGTATCAATGATATGTGGCCTCAGGGTTACATGGGCCTCGACGCGACGTATGTAAGAAAAAACTCTCTCTATAGTCTCATTCAAATTTTCAAGCGCTAAAACCTTAGATCGTAACCTTACTTGATATTAGCTTGCTTCCTACTTTTGACGCTGTCAATTACAACTGCAGCAGCTGAATGAAACTTTTCGACATAATAGACGAATAAATTATCTTAGATATCTGGGAAATGGTAAAATTATCTTAGGTCCTGTAAGTGCCACTATCAAACAACACTTTCTACCTCCTGGTTTACCGAGGCAGAAAATACAGGAATGACAAAATTCAGGTATAGCTATGGCTAATTTAACAAATTTTTCGGAAAAATAGTATCAAGTAGAACGACTCGGTACTTCACACGCATTCACATATGCCTATTTTCAAATGTTTCATATGTACACATTGAAAATCCTTGATACATGAATGCTGTTGGAGCATCATTATTTTTATAGTACGTAAGTTCTATAGTAAGTCAAAAATGAGCACTTGCTTGAGGAAGGAGTAGAAAATGTTTGTGCTCCAACCTGAAGTGATCAGTAAACAATGGAGGCAAATTTCTGACATTTGAGAATAAAATATTTTTAAGCTGTCAAAAAAAGTTTGGCAACGTCATGAAGCTTCATCCTGATCTCCAAAATGCTTCTTTTGTGAAAAATCTCTTTATCGATCTTTACCCTCCATTTAGGATTCACTACAAAAATGGTTTGGGGCACCCGACGACGTTTGACATGGGTTCCCTCTGAAGCAAGTTACGTCACTGGTTCATTTAATTATCTGTTGCAATTACGTAAGATGGCAACCACAATGACCTTCCTTTAATGCACATAAGCAACAACACAGATAGGGCGTAAGGATAGAGTAGCAGGAATAAAAACACATGTTTGAAAGAAGGAACATACATTTTCTATTATCCGGCCTTCCGGCCCCTTTCAGCTCTATGTTGACTGGATTATAACTCCTTGCCGACGCGACGTCCCACACCATTGGCTACGGCGGCGGCGTCTCCGGAATCCCTAGCAGGAGGAAGCATCAGCCAGCAGGAACTGGCCGGGCCGTTGACGAATCGAAAAATACGTAATCAAGTTACGTGTTTATCATCCATCCCAACCAAATAGTGGGGGCTATAAAGACCGTCTCACATGGCCGACACTTTTCACACAGCTCTGACTGTTACGCATGAATCACATGTCAAGTCAATACAAGTCAACCGCTACCGCACGCCTACGCAAATCAGCATCTCGCCGACCGCTTCAGAATCTCGGTGTGCTGTGTCCTGTTACCATAACTCGGATACCATCAATGGAACTGTGCCTCTCGCTCATAAAAGGTAATTTTTTTTAGTGAAGTGCATGTGAAGTTGTGCTGTGACGTCATATTATGTTGGTGATCTTTTTAGAAAGTATGTATTTTATGTACTGTAAAACTAGATGCAAAAGATGCGGATCAATTTGATATATATTTCGACCATATTTACAAATTAGATACGTACTTCCCTGCGAAGAAAATAAAATGCTTTGATGCTCAGCTTCCCATTCATAAATTTAAAAAAAAGCAGGTTATATTACGAAAAAAGGGCCGACGAACCTTAGGAACCGAAAGAACCAAAGCTATTATTCTGGTGCTGAAATATACCAAGACAAAGTTGAAGACTTCATCGATACTACTATCTTTTGTTTTTTGTTTTAATACGCTGCTCGGCTGCTAATATATCCGGTCTTCAAAGGCTCGCTTTGCATTATTCGCTACTAATTTTCCAGTTTTGAAATTACCCTAACTGTATATAAACCAACTTTTCACATGAACTCAGATGGAATAAAGTATCCAAATCTGAAAATTCATGCGATCGAAAAAATGGCAATGGTGTCAAGTAAGTTGACCATACACTTCCCACGTAACTCCGTCATAAATTCATAAAGGATTATGCCCAGCACAAGTTAGACCCTCTGAGAGGAAAGTTAGTAATGAATATGTAAAACAAAGAAACTAAACAACCGATTAAGTCAGCTAAACAGGCACACACAATTAGTCCATCGAAATTTTTTCCCTGCCCTAATGTAGTCCATACGTCACCGCAAAGCAAATTAGACGTGGCAGTGCGGCCAGAACACTTACTAAGTTTAGCACTATCGCCAGTGATTCCTGAAGGCAGAGGCTGAGACACGTACTTAAAGCATTCTCTATCATGCTAAGATTTAAGGGCAAATGTACAGAGAAATACAATCGGTGCATAGCATTATCGGGACTGAAAGTTTATTCATCAGAAAATTGCGATACGCCCTCCCCCACCCTCCTACAACCCACCACCAATTATAAAGGTGATCAGGATCCTCTGGAACGTCAAAAATTATTATTTTTTCGTTTTCGGCCGCCACTGTACAGATTTCCAAAAACTACAAAGCTTTTTCGTCCTACAATACTTCCTCTCGAGTAGGTGTGGAAGTAAAAAGATATCGATCAAGAAATTTTCAATAAATATCGCCTCACTGATAACTGCTTGAACAGTTTGCGATACTATCGTCCTTTCGGCCTCTCCTGCCTGAGGTGTGAGATTCACTAAAGCCCTGATATCTGCTACACATCCCACCACGGTAATGCTTATAACATTTCGTCATGGTGGGCAGCGTTGCGCTAAGTTTCCATTCCAAAGCTATTAGTCACCATAGTAAATACACAGGAACCTACTGTTGGTTCCTTGTTCTGTTTTTATCATTCTGCACCTTGCTCATCATCATCCCCTCGCTACTAGTTCAATGTCAACCCGTTTGTTTCCGCTCACATGCCCGACAAAACTGTCAACATATCCATTACATTCGAAGAGATGATTAGGGATTTATTTTTATTTAAACATATTGCTACATACTGGTGTGAATGCTTTATAACAATCCACTTGGACAGCAAAAGCCCATAGGTACTTTTGTGAAGAAATAATTATCTTTTGCCATATAAAAAATTACGAGTCGGTGTTTTCTAGACACTTAAACAGTTTTGTCTGATAACTTGTTGCGCCTGATACTGTTTAATTGTGTTTCTAAAAACATTCACTTATTTTTATTTTGTGCATCGATCCATCGAAAGATAGAACTAGAGCTACACATACCTCAAGTGATAAAGGATACCACACAGTTCTGTGTAATTCACAGAAGGTCCCATTCTTATCACTGTTCCACAGCGTCAAGGTATGTAATAGTTCAAATACCTTGGCTAAATTAAACGTCTACAAATACATGTGACTCATTTCGTATTGTTGTTACAATTATTACCTACAGATGATTGTGTTTCTCACGTTATGGAAATATATTTTAAAACCAAACAATGACACACTATCGAACTGATAACACAGTTTGCATAAGAAAAATTCATTCATAAGCTTATCAATAGTAATTAGTATCCCAATCACCATTAATACAACACTATGTTGGAGTCATCAACAAGATTAAACATGTACATTTTGCGAAAACGTGTTAGCTAAACTAGTACCTGAAAGGAACATTGTATCATCATATTTGTTTTATTTCTAAATCTAAGATGCATACTGAAATATTGAAATATATCTGAAAGTCAACAATACGTTATACAGGGTGACTTCGAAGTTGAGTCATTTATTTTAACAGTGAGTAGATCTGATCAAAAGAAATGTTTTTTTCCTTTACCATTTTTCTGGTAAAATTAAAGTAACAAAGTTATAGCCCTTTGGAAGTTTGAGTACCGCCCTGTCTCAATAATAATATTATGTGCTCGTGTTTGGCAACAACGGATATAATCCGCCTTATCGGTTCATCGCATCGGAAACAAAAAAGCGAAAGAATTTGGAACGATGTTTTTACAATTATTTGATTCAGTTGTATACAGTCAGTGTCAGTCGGTAACGCGTGAGTGAATAGTGGTGTCTGTTGCGTGGCTCAAACGAAATAAAAAACGGCACATGTTTATGCGGATCGGTTTCCCAGTCGAGTGCAACCAACCCCTCGTGCCTTTGTTAATGTAGTACAACGGGCTCGTGGATCAGGTGACTTAAGACCTCACAGTGGACGGCATGCCGGTGCTCCAAGACCTCACGATCAAATACAGGTCCGCACTGAAATACTTGTCGGGAGGATACTTTATAAAACAAGGTAAATTTTTTTTTTATTTTTTTTTATTTTTACACACATATTTTGGTTTATCTTCCTTCTACAATCATTATCTGAAAATTAATGACTCAACTTCAAAGTCACCCTGTATAACAAGTTTGACCCGTTTGGAATATGATAACTTTATTTTTCAGTTATTTACCCTCACCTACTGAGATTCAAAACTTACTTGGCTAAATCTTCTTCTATATATAGCCAGCAATGAGCATTTTCAGTCATGCCTTATGTCCACCTTACCCCTGTGGTACCGTAATTTATAAAAAGCAGTGACTTTCCCTACTTGTGAAGAGATTATATGCTTAGCAATGCTTCGCTTATGCAAAACCTGGCTTAAAAAGACTGCTGAAATGAAGACTAATCTTGTTTGATCAGTCATGCGGTTTCATTATATTCCACCATAATTCTACGTTACAAGTGTTTTCCCGTTGAAAATAATTTGTATAAAACACGATAGAACATTGTCTGATTGATTACTTAATGCAGTCCATGTCGATGGATACGTGCAGCTAGCTTTGCATTAGAAATCTCAAATGCAATGATTCTCCTCATTGAGTTTCAAAATAGGAGTACCATTTTCATTTACTAGGTAAGAATTAATTACATTATTTGATAAGAATATTAAATAGTTGTTACCTGATGAAATATACATACAATAGACATGATTCTGTGGCTAGTACATACCATACTCGTCAGAAAACAATCAACTTGATGTGTATGGAAATGGAAATTTTGTGAAGATGTCGATTTTCGGAAATATGGTGCTGAAACATGTTTTTCTTTTCTCTTTTTTATTTCGGGATACAAATGGCTATCCAATAAGGACAATATTTGTAAGTAGATCAGCTGTATCCATAACGTGCAAATGTCGCTAAAAAATAAAAGATCACGGGATAAGGGCAAGGTGCATGTAGAAACCCTGAAAATTACTGCAACCGAAATTTCTAACCCACTAGCATTCATTATTAAATGGATCTTAGAATCGATCAATTTCTTAGGAGGCTGAAAGAACTTGTAATTAATTCGATATACAAATCAGGTGAAGCAAGTGATACTTTTTATGCCACAGGCCGATCAGTCAAATGTATCAAATACTGCAAGCATCGTAGAAGAGTAAACTCAAACAAGATTAAACAATTTTATTCAAAAATATCAAATACTGTTAGAGAAGCAGTTAGGATTTACCTGCTGTTTAATATCTGCTTAAGTGAACTATACAAAGCACCAACGCTAGGAGCAATAATCAGACGACCGTGTCGTTATCTTTGAGGCTGAGACCTGACAGTGAGAAAGGCCTATCAAATCTTGCCGTATGGTTCTAATCTCGATTATTTACAGAAAATTAATAAAAAATATCATCAGGAGGTAAGAAATAAAACAATATTTAGGCATATATTTGAACTCTAACCTAAAGTGGAATGTGTATATATATGATTAGATTATTGGGTTGGGAAACTCAGATTCTTGGTTTATAAAATCAGACAGCTAAAGCAGTATCTTTTTCATAACCCAGAATAATATACCTTATGCCTTAACAGAAACTCTTCTGATTTACGATATAACTGTGTTCGGTCAATAAAAAGCATTTACAGACTGTAACAAAAGTCTGGAACGCATCAAATGTCTGACAAGTGACTCATCTAATTTAAAAAAAAATGGAAGGTTTAGATACGAACCGGGGTAGATCCGTTGATTTTGACAAATCTACAGTTTCAGAAACTGAAAGCAACTTTTGTTTTTTTTATAGAATGCGATACATTTTATTCGATATTTGTATTCTGCCAGAAATTCGGAATACTTTTTATTAAACTTTCTTTGACGTAGACCTCATAGTTTTCGAAATAACAACAAAAGGTATTTTTTCACCTATACAATGATCGGTATGGAAAATAATCTCCTGTCATTTCTGACATTGAAAAGTCCATTGAGTTTTGTTTGTAGAGTTAATAAAAATATGATTTATTTAACTAAAAACAGTAGGAGAGAAATTCTAATATTGATTAAAATAGTGTATTTGATATTCCAAGGAAACAAGAGAAAAAAATAAAAAGAAAACGATAATACCTAGTTTGTTCATTTAAACTTAGAAACAAGATGAAAATCATATTAGATGTTGCTGTCCATATATTTCTTGACAATAAGCTAAATATTGCGGATATGCGTTTAGAACATTTTGAAGACATCCGCTTTCTTCAATTCT